CAGACAAAATGACTCTTCCCATCACACAAAGATAATGCTGCATGTGGATGTCAACATCCATGTGATTCCTGCCCATTTTGGTCCTCTTTAATTAGGGACTGTTCTGCCTCATTGGACAGGCTGGTGTAATAGCTTGGGATAAAGATTGTCACAGCTTGAAAAATCTTTGGAGCAGTGGGAGGTAATGATCCTGCCTGAGGCAAAGCACTGCTTCTGGCCCTGTGATTCTGTCCCACACTCCATTGAATCTTTTTTCCCAAACGCTGCAGTTTAGCCCCTGAAAAATGCAGTATTTTTATGAGTGTGTTCCATCTTCACTCTGGCCCCATAATTCCTGCTGGATGTGAGCAGGGTGAGCAGGGGCAGAGGATGGCATCTGAGACATGAAATGCCAGTTAGAGGCTTCAGCCCGTGCGATTTTTCATGCTGAATGGTTTTCCAGAATGTGACGAGCAATTTCTCTTTCATCTGGAAGATGGGAATTTCTGAGAATAAAGACTGAGTCCCCTTTTCCACCCCACTAACCTTTTCCCTTCCCTGAGCAGTTTTGGGAAGTACTGGTCTGCTTAGGCTATGATCAATTGTCACAAAAGACTGCTTTAAACTTTTGGCCCATATGGAATAAGCAATGTTTCCTTTTCCCAGCGTTATCACAATTCGTTTTACTTCGTAGTTGAAAAGTAAATGAAAGAAATAGCTGGAGGCACATTTGTGAATAATTACATTTGCACCACATTTCTTCAGAGTTTGATGGGTAGATTTATGTGTAAGATTTTATTGTTTTCCTTCAGCTTCATTATCCATCCAGTGTTTGCCATGGATCACAAGGCGCTGTAGCAGATCATGGAGGCAGCATTCTAATGCTGTTTCATCTGGAAAGGGAAAACATAGATCTTTTTTTCAGCTGCAGCAGTGCAAGATGATGGGAGACTTGGAAAGCAGCTCATTAGTTGCTGCTTCAGGCTCTCCTGCTGGGATGAGTGCTGCCTGTGGTGAGGGAAAACCTGTGCCCTGTAAATTGTCTCTGACTTCAGCCCTGCAGCGTGATGCTGCTGGGGTGTGGGGTGCCCCTTTTCAGCAGGCAGTTGATGATGTGCCCCGAGGAGTTTTGCCTCAGATCAAATCAGTTTTGATCATTTGCCTCAATTGGCACAGATCCGGTCCGTGGTTAAACGTGATTTTGGGAAATGTATTGGGCAACAATCTTTTGTTATGGCCAACAACTGCTGGCAGTGATCAGAGCCCAGCAGGGACATGCACTGGCTGCCCTGCTTTGTCAGGGTGTGTTCCAAAGAGTTTGAAGGAATCTTTCAGGGAAAACCTTGAAATAGCCGAGTTTGGTGGGAAGGGTTAGGGGGATTTATTTATTATGGTGCTAATGAAAGCAGAAAATGCAGTCCAGGACTTTATCAACCATCTCTGAACCGTGTAAAATCACAAGAAGCTTGTGAGTTTAAGTCTGCTGACAAGAGTTTTGTTTTCCCTGGTTTTCTCCTGGGGGTGGGTGTAGTCCAGGGATTCTCATATCCGTGTGGAAGGAATCATCATGTAACTGAGAAAGTGAAGAGACCAACAAAAGGTTATGTGTGGCAGAGGGTGGGGAGAGAATCCTGATCCACCTTCACTGCCACATCAAGGTAGCTTGGAAGAAGGTGGTTTCTCATCAGAATAGTTGTCCCCCACCAGCAGGAATGAAAACAATCAGATCCAGGAGTAAAACCTGTGCCAGTGCTTACCTGTGCTCTGGGCTGCTGTGAGAATTTCCTGGGTTTTCAGACCATTTCCAAGCTAATTATCCCTTGTGAAAGGAAAACCAGGAGTGCATGAAAGAGGAGCATTTCTGCAGGCTTCCTTTCAGCTCTCTGCAGAAATTTAATGATTTAAGGACTCAAATCCAGCAGCGTGCAGGCTTGAGATATGTGAACAACTACTGACAGGTAAAAGTTACTATGGCATGGGTGGGTATGGACTAGGAAGGGTGCAAAAGGGTTTTAATCTTTTTATCAGTGCAGTGAGGTGATTTCTAGTCTGTGCAGGTCCTGAGCCCAGGCTGGGTTTTCATTGTAATTAATTGGTTAATTCTTAATTTGTAGAATCATAGAATGGTGTGGGTTGGAAGGGACCTTAAAGATCACCTGGTTCCAGCTCCCCTGTTGGAACTGCTGCTCCTACCCAGTAAAACCATCTCATTTGCAGGGTGTGATGCTTTTTAAATCACAAGGCTGCTTTTAGGGAAGCAGCTCAAGGTAAAAGCTAAAATTTTATTCCCTTAGACAAAGCCTGAGCTGGCACCCCACTGAATTTTCTCTCAGATTGACAGTCCATCTGGTAAAGTATCTGTGTTGTGACAGGTATCAATAGAAAATGGTCTGGGGAGAACTCCAAGAAAATCCACTCTCAAAATTTGGGAAATACCTAATTCAACTCTTTTCAGTTTAACATAGGACTTAAACTCTTTAAGCAAATATGTCTGTGCAATTATATATTAATATGTATTCTCTATGTATGCAAATGTGGAGGGACCATACATGTATAAAAAAATGAAATATGGGCAGAGGGAGAAAGAAAATTATACAGATATGTCTATTACATTACATTGCATATATAGATAGTGCACATGTTGTTTTATAATATATATTATGCACATATGTGTAATCATTGTAATTCCCTACCATCTGCTAATTACGAGTTTCTTCTTTATCAATATAAATATCTTGGCCCATTTGAACACTTCTAATTTCTTAATTACAAGTCATTTTGTCCTAGCATTTCTCAGTGGTGATAGGAAAATAGAGATATAGGAAGAGCTCATGTGGAATTTTGGTTTTGATGTCAACAACTGCAGGTCAAAAGAAACAAAAGGAAGTCAAACCTTAAGATATTGCAAATTATTGCATTACAGTTGATTTTAAGGCAGTGAGGATGGTATACATCAAGCAAAGATTTAAGTGTCCTGGAAATTTTAGAGACAAATTACACTAAATGCTGCATTTCCTTAAGTCTTAACATGAGATTGCTGAGTCACTGTTGCGAGTTAAGATAGTGCTAAAACTTGGCTGTAATAGGAAATGAGCTGTACAAGCCAGATTTCATCAAGAGGTACAGACCCAATTGTGTCTATTCATCCACCCATCTGCTTTTCCCAACTGGCATTTCCAAAGGACAGTAATTGTTACACTGAAAGGCTAAAATCGATGGATAGACTCCACTTTTACTGTTACATTGCCTTTAACCCATAAATACAAAATCAAAATTGGTTCCAGTTTCTCCTTGGCTGTGTCACTTCCAACCTTCTCGTGCCCTTCCCCACGGAAGATAAACTATAATTGTATTTTTGTACTTAGGGTGGTTGTATTGCTTGAATAGTTACACAAACCATGCAGATTCTCGGATTTAATGACTTGATTCTGTGATTTAATGACATAAAGTTAATGGATTGATTTTGTTCCACGAAAATCTTTGTTGTGATAGCTTAGCTTTTCATTAGCCTGTGTAATAAAATTTGGTGAGCTCTCAAGCCGTTCTCTTTATCCAGATTTTCTCTTTCTTCTTCTATTTTCATCTTTCTTAAATGTTTTCTAAATAAAACAAAATACTAAGTGAACATTTCTCTTATATTAGCACAACTGCATTTATTTGCTTGCTGTAGTTAAAATAAAATCAATATGGGATATTGCAAACCTTCCCTTTAAATAGTTCCTCACTTTAGAATGCTCCATGGAAAATGGACACAAAAACTGAGTTCTGAGGAAGAATGAGAAGTAAAGGCAAGAAATCCCACAGGACTCAAGCTAAAACCATGGAATGGCATCCCTCTTTTCTAGTGTGCAGGACAGAGATAATGGGGGATAAGTTTATTTTCATTTTAATAAGACATTGGACGTGTTGCCTTTATTTGCATTAATGCTACTTGGGGATGAGCATGCTGGAGGTATTAATGTCAAAAATTAAAAGCAAAGTGGTTCAAAATGGGTGAATTCCCCCAAGCAGAGCACCCTGCAGACTCCTGGTGTGACGTGCACTGCAGGCTGGCACACAACAGATCCATCAGTGAGGTTAACAAACCAATTTATGGTGAAAAACTCGGTGCTGTGATGAGGTTAGTGGGGCGAACGTGTGCTCCCACCAGCTCAGCCCAGGCTGAGTTTGGGGTTATCTGGGCTACCAGGGCAGGAATTTTCCCAGCTGCACTTTTAACTCGTAGGTGGGTGAAGGAAAATTCAGCAGAGTCAGCTGGGTTGTCCACGTGGAGGTTGAATGCAGCTGAAGGGAAAGCTGAGGCCTGGGAATAAAGGAAGGCAAAGAGCCAAGGATTGAGGATGAAAGACAAAAGCAGAGCCTGGAGAGAAGTGAGGGAAGTAGCACAGTGGTGCAGAGATTGGACATAAATGATTCAGAGGGGAAGAGCTGTGCATGTTGGAAGGGATGAGGCAGGAAATGAGTGGAAAGAATGGAAATTAGCCTTAGGAAGTATTATCTCTTCATCTCATGTTGGAGGTGTGATAAAAACAGTATCTTAATGCCTCTACTTTGAAATATTTTAATCTATCTCTTTTTTTAGGGTAAACATAGAATAATTTAGGTTGGAAAAGACCTTTAAGTTCTCCCTGCTGGGTGGCACAGAGGAGTCCCTCTGTCCCTCACTGTTGGCTGGGGGGACTTGCCCAGGTGCTGGGTGAGTGCTGAGCACCCTTTGGATGTTGCTCCTCAGTGCCCAGCTCCCCACAGGATGTCACTGGGAGGGGTTTGATGTAACTTGTGCAGGCTTTCTCCCTGAATCTGCTCCCCATTGCCATGGCTTTGTCTGCTGATGCCTTTTCCTTGGTCTGAAAACTGAGAGCCAGGTACGGTTAAGGGATGGATAAATGGCTTTTACATCGGTATTTAATAAGGATCTTTAGGAAGAAGGAGAAAGCAACAGAATTTTCCACCTGTGCTGCTCACTGATCATCCCTGTCTGAATAAGCTGTTGATGTTTTTGTTCTGTTTCCTTTGAGCAGATGGGCAAAAGAAGGTCCAAGAGGAGTTTGACATAGACATGGACGCGCCAGAGACAGAGCGGGCGGCCGTGGCGATACAGTCCCAGTTCAGAAAATTCCAGAAGAAAAAAGCGGGGTCCCAGTCCTAGTAGCTACCTCACAGCTCAAAACAAAGTAATCCTGAGATGATTTATCAAGATCAGAAATAACACAAAGATGCATGTACAGAAATTATCAATATTTAAAACCCCATTGGCAGATAAGAACCCATGAGCTTGTGTGCGACTTCATCCCCCAGATGTTTCACGGCCATTATCCTCTGTAACTCACCATTTTACTTGATGTTGTAATAAAAAGTTAGGGTGAAGTAATTAAAGTGTCTGCCTTCATCTGTCTTTCCATATTAATCCAGCAAGTGCAGCGTTACAAATGAGCCCAGCCCAGATTCCTGTTTCCCTCTCCACCTAAAGCTCAGAGTCATAACAGCACCGTATGTTGCAGGGATTTTTGCTGAGGGATGAGATAGATGCATCTCAGCCCTGCTTCCCTCATTTGGAGAATTCCAGCTGCCAGCAAAATGTGAAAATAAAATTACTTTCTCGTAATGAGCTGAAAGTAAAAAACAAAACAAAACAAAACAAAAAGTTGCAGGCAGAAGCTGGCATGAGGGGTGTAGGAAGCAGGGAGCAGTTTATTTTTGTCTTGCAAGTGTGTCAATAAAGTGGTTTGAGTGGGGGAATTGTGCCTGTCCTTCTTCCTCTTTGCATGATAACATTCAGAGATCTTGGACCACATTGACTGTTATGGAAAGAAAATAATAAACCAGACACAAAATACCTTTGGAAGTTTGGGATTGATTTTTGTCTGTAATAATAGAAACTGACCCTCTAAACTCTATTTCTTGATGCAGTTTTTCAGTCTCTACATAATCAGCAACTGTTTCTGTGCCATCTGTTTCCATATTATTTTTAATGTTTGAGGAGTAAATCATAACAGCCTTCCTGTGTCCATTTGCACTGTTCTGTATTCAGCTTTGAGCCCCTTTATTACTGTGTTAGCCCAGCTTTGGATCAACAAAAAGCAGCTACAGCGTGTCTGAAATGGGGAAGTGAGTGATGACAGCTTTTCACTCCTTCAGGGGGCACAGATCCCAGCTCTGCCCAGGGGGATCCTTTTCTTCCTCTCCCACCTTCCAGAGGAGTGTTGGATCACCAGGGCAAGGGACAAATGCAGTCACCTTCAAACAGAAAGCCAGGGCAGGGGCAGGAATGGAGGGACAGGAGGGATCTCATGGCCTTCTCACAGGAGCCCATCGGAGCAGCAGTGCTGGAGAGGTGCAGAGCTGTGGGGTTACAAAGGAAAATGAAAAACTTTCTGCAGGTTATGGCACTTGTGGTGCTGGGCATCGTTTTGGAGGTGGTGCCAAGAGCTCTGGCCCCGTGCTGGCTACAGGGAGCCCTCAGGGATGCTGAGCAGGAGAAATCCTGTGGGCAGAGAAGAAAGCATGGGCAAACATGATTTGTGAGCTGCTCGAGGCTGGGTGGGAATGCACAGAGTTTTTTAGAAGTCATTTTGGAGGGGAGCACCCAGACCCTGCTGTGGCATGACTTTCTGTGTGGCATGACTTTCCCACTCAAAGTCACTCAAAGTCCTCCAAGCTGCAGCTCAGTTCTTTCATTATTTTTTTCTTTTCATCAGCACTGTTCCTCTGCATTTAAGAATTTCACAAATAAACCTCAAATAACAGTGCTGCTGTGCTCAAAGTGTGGTTCGTGGAGGCCCCAGTTCCCCCACTTGTCTTTCACAGCAACTGCTCACCATATAATGATAGCCTAAGCATAATAATCTAAAAATTGTAATGGCTTTGGATTGTTTTGGTGCCATTTTGTTTAGATGAACATATATTTGTAATAAAAGGCTGCATTTGTGTTCTGCATTATGTCATTTGAAACAGCATGAGCTCTGTAATGGCTACTTAATTGAATAAAAACTATGGGTAAGCACTAGGCTTTTATATTTGATCTGACATTCCTTGGACTTAAATTTCCTACACAACAGGAATAATCATATGGTTGGGACACAGAGAAAATGATTGCATTATTGAAGCACAGCAACAGGGGCTGTTAGTAAATGAATTATGTCTCTTTCAGCAGCAGGGCTTTTCTTCAATGTGCAGTTCAGAGTGCATCTTACAGACACAGCCCCAATGTACAGAGACACATAATGAGGAAACAGTGATCTGGCATGAGATTTGGAATAATTGTGGCTGCCCCTGTCAGACAATTTCCTTTTCATTTAAATGTGTTTGCACACAGATTGATGTTCCCAGGAGAGCTTTCTTGCTCCTGAGTCTTGCTCTTCTCTCATCTTATTGCCCATATCCAAGGTGACAGCTGTTAATTTCTTTTCTTACCAATTTCTTTTCAAAGACCTCTCTGGGTTTGGCTGAGGTGAGAAAAGGAGTTGGATCCCACCAGACTGGGTGAAGGAGGACAGTTAAATATTCCAGGGATAATGTGGGTCTTTCAACTTCCAGACACTCACTTAGCTCTGCCTAACTGTGCATAATGCAGTCATGGAAAGGAAGATTTAAATTAGGGGGATATCTGTGCTGATAACCCCAAAGTTCCCATAGGTAACATGGAAGAATATTCAGAGCAGTAGATTTTGCAGGAAATGGGGTTATGGCTCCCACCACTGACACCCACACCCTCCCCAGACACATCCATGCTGCCTCTGCTCCAAATTGCTGCCAGATTATCCCAAAAGAGAATAACCTACAGCTGAGTGATCAGAACAATTGCCCGAGCCTGTGAAATCCTTAGCTCACGTCGCTGCCTGGACCGTAAAATAACTTCTGGAATTAAACACAGAGACCAAGAGAAGGAACCAAAGCCCTAAAAAAGCACAGGAATGCCCACACAAGGGAAACAGCAAAGAATGTGTCTGTCAAGTCAAGGAGAGAAAAGCAAGCCACAGCCAAACCCGTGGGGGAAGTGGAGGTTTCACAGAAAGTAGAAATGAGTTTTGGATTAATGCCCAGAGCAGAGGATCCCACAACTCAGGCAGAGTTTGGAACAACCTGGCAAAATCACAGAATCATAGAATCAAGCCATGGAATGGGTTGGATTGGAAGGGTTCTTAAAGCTCAGCTCTTTCTGACCTTTTCCATAAGAAGAAAACATCCACTGTCCTAGGCTGCTCCAAGCCTCAATGTCTAACCTGGTCTTGGTGTGCCAGGGCCTCCCCACCCTCCCAGGGAGGAATTCCTTCCCAATATCCCATCTGAACTGACTCTCTTAATATCAACAAATTAATACCAACAAATCACCAGGAGTGTGTTGGAGTCCAGGGCATTCCTCTGGCTGCCCTGGCTGACTCGAGACCCTAACATAAAGTCAAAAACTTCTGTGGCTTTGATTTTAGCCTGTAGAAAAAGCTGTCAATTTTGTATGAAGAATTACAAGTCACAAAGGTTTTAATAGTGTAATATTTAAATTAACACAAGGTGGAAAAGTAAAGTTTTAAGAGTTTTAGAATAGGGCTGAAGGGGGTACAAGATGGAGGAATTTAGGTGTGTCCAAGCCTTCTCCTTTATCTTGTCTTCCATATCTTAGTGTGATAGTGACACTTTTCTATTATTTTAAGGTAAAGATTTACTGTCTAACATAAATGATGAGAATTGGTAACAAATTGTGAACACAGACATGTAGTTTTGTGTATATAAGGTGGGAGCTGTCCAAAGCTCAAGGGCAGACTACCATAGCTTCCTTTCTAGACAAAACTCAGCAAATAAAGAAAGAATGTTATAAATAAGAAAAAAGAACAACCTTAAAAGCACAATCAAAGACATTCCAAACTCCTACTTTAGCTACAAAAGACTCTTTATGATCTCAAAGTCACCCTAACCTTCTAAACCCCAAAACATCACCAGGAGTGCCCGAGGTTCACCCATGGCTGGTGGAGGAGCTCAGATGCACAACATCTGCCTTGCTCAAACCATTGCTCCCACTGGCCTCAGCTCCAGGGAAAATTAACAACATATTTTAGCAATGTCATTTAGAAAGGGCTCTAGCAGAATTCAGGGATTTCCAAAGAGCAGCTTCATTAGGAGTCCTGAGAGAGAACCAAAGATATGATGTGATCCAGCCATGATACATCACCACCCAGCAGCTGTGATTCCCAAACCTGCTGCTGGAGGAGATGACAGGTGGGAATTGGGAACCCAGGGACACACCTGGATTTTCCAGAAGTTTTAACAGGACTGTCTTGGGTGCCTCTCAGAGGAGCTGAGGTGTGGGAACAAAGGGTCCCACAGAAAAACAATAAGGTGACAATTTGTTATACAGGCTCCCCAGGGCAGTGGGCACAGCCCCAAGGCTGCCAGAACTCAAGGAATGTGGGGACAATGCTCCCAGGCACAGGGTGGGATTTTGGGATGTCTGTGCAGGGCCAGGAGTTGGGCTTTGATGATCCTTTGGGTCCTTTCCCACTCAGGATATTCCATGATGCTAGAATTCTTTTCTCAATATTAGCTCTACATGAGTGTTCAAAGCCTGATGGGAAAAATGCAGAGTGTATTATCAATATGATGAAATTAATATTTAGACATCTATCTCCTGGAAGCATTTAAATGCAAATATCCTTCTCAATCTGAAAACAGCAGAAATCCCTTGTATTGGTTTACATGATCAAGACAATCTTCAGAGGGGGAGGATCCAGGAACTTCCCCTCAAAAGAGAAGCACTGCCATTTCTAATCCATTAAAATCTAGTCACGAATGGGTTATTTAGCTCAATTTTTAAATTAAGGCAGTGCATTTTTTCTGGGTTGGTTTTTTTTTTTTTAAATCCCTAAACTCTCCCTGACAGATGGTCTCCTGCCTTTTAGTATCTCCAGTGATGGTAAGGCTAAAACCTTCCTTGGCAGCTTGTTCCATGGCTGAACTTTTCTTAAAGCTATAAAGGTTGGTTTGTACTTAAAACCTAAACCCTCCCTCCTGCCATTTAGATTAATTTGTTCCAGTCCAGCTCTACCCAGTTTCCCATATCTTATCTTGTGGGTCTCCTTTTCAAACTTTTTTGTTATTTTCTGTTATTCTCCTTTGAACTTTGCCCATTTATCTGTGCCTGGAATGAAATGCAGCCATCCAGATGAAATGCACCCAGTGCCAGGCACAGCAGCACAATTATCTCCACTATTTTACAAGTAATAAGCCCCTCACCACACATTTACACGGCTTTTGGCATTTTTTTTGTGGTAGCATTATTTTCCTGGCTTGTGGTCAGAACATCATTTCCCAAGAATATGGAGCTGCTCTATGAACTCTCTGGCTGGTCAGGATTTCACCATTTTTTCCTACAAAAGATTACTCTGGCTGTAAAACATCTTTATTCTTTTAATTTTATAACCCCCCTCCACCTCTGCAATACTGGGATGACACAGAAATCTGGGTAAATGTCTTTATCTGAAGCACTTTTTCCTTCAAATAAGGCAGGAATTGTAATAGTTTCTTTTCTTTTTTTTTTTTTTTTTTTTTTTTTTTTTTTTTTTTTTTTGTGCTTTCCCATTTTCTGTTACTAAATAATTACAGTCAGGTGCAGAGGCTTCAATGATCTCTAAATCAACCTTTTTTGGAAACTCAGAAAAGGTTTCAATGACTTCCTACTTTATTCTGAAAAGTTAACTTGCCTTTTACTGGTGATGACTAATTATTTGATAAGAAAAGTCTTCAAATTCACAGCTAAAAATAGCTTTTGAAATAAGCCTGAGGACTCTTGTCCCTTCTCAGTGCGTTGTGATTTAATGATCTTTTCACAAAGACCAAACTTATACTAT